ATGTAGAGAACAAATGTATGGACACCAAGGGGGGAAAGCAGGCAGGGGGGTGGTGGTGGGATGAATTGGGAGATTGGGATTGACATATATACACTAATATGTATAAAATAGATAACTAATAAGAACCTGCTGTATAAAAAAATAAAATAAAATAAAATATTGAAAATAAATAAAATAAAATAAAGAATTCTTGGTTCTATCACAGATACAGAGAACGAACTAGTGGTTACCAGTGGGGAGAGGGAAGGAGGGAGGGGCAACATAGGGGCAGGGGAGTATGAGGTACAAACTATTCTGTATAAAATAAGCTACAAGGACATATTGTACAATACAGGGAATATAGCCAATTTTTTTTTTTTTTTTTTTTTTTTTTTTTTTGCGGTACGCGGGCCTCTCACTGCTGTGGCCTCTCCCGTTGTGGAGCACAGGCTCCGGACGCGCAGGTTCAGCGGCCATGGCTCACGGGCCCAGCCGCTCCGCTATAGCCAATATTTTATAATAACTATAAATGGAGTATAACCTTTAAAAATTGTGAATCACTATTCTGTACACCTGTAACTTATATAATGCTATAATCAAGTATACTTCAATTTAAAAAATAAAAAATAAAAAAAAATTTAAAAATTAAAAAAAGAAAAAGATCGATAGTTGTTACCTCCAGGAGTGGATGAGATTGGGAGAGGACGGATGAAGAGGGCCTTCAATAATTGCTCCCAAAACATCTATCATGAATTGTTTGAATCTTATTAAATAAAACTGTATCCATATTATTTCTTTCATAAAGTAGAAAATTGAACAAAAAAGGGGGGAATTCCTGGTTCTAGAAAGTGGTTAAGAGAGGAGAAGCCAGCCACAAAAGACAGAGAGGGAGTGGCCGATGAGGGCAGAGGGAAATGAAGACAGCGTGTTGTCAGGGAGAATCGCTCTGTCGAGCGCGGCATAGGAGCTGAAGGAAGATGAGAGCGCTGTCCCCTTCCTAGGGCGACACGGAAGCTGCTGGGGACCTCGCAAGAGCAGCCGTGGTAGGGACAGATGCCAAAGGCAGGGGGTTGAAGAGCAAAGAAGAGGTGGAGGTGGAGTGTAGGGAGAAAAGGATGGAGCAGTCATGGCGGGGACGGTTGTGTCGAGAGGGGCAGGCGAGAGATGGGTGAGGCCGAGAGAAGCCGGGCGCGAGAAGCGGAGCGCGACAGAGCTAGGGAGGCCCAGGGGACTGGCTTTCGAAAGCAGCAGGGGCCCTTCCTCCGTTGTCCTGGAGGGAAGGCGGAAGAGATGGGTGAGATGCAGGTGGGTCTGTCGGGAAGGTGAGGGAGTGACTGATGGCTTCTGTTTTCTCGGTGAAGAATAAAGTTGCCGGCTGAGTGAGCAGCCGAAGAAGTGGGGCTTGTGTGAGGAGGGCAAAGACAGGTCTGTCACAGCGATCAGAGAATAAATCAGACCTCTCAGGATGTGTGAAGGGGTATGTCATGCACCCACCCGAGGGTCAGAGTGAAGCCAGTCGACTCAGCAAAGCACAGAGCTGAAACTGGGACGCATATCGAGTTTTCTATCCAGCTTTTTTCACTTTACAGAGTAGCAGAAGCATTTCCCCGTGCATTTATGAGCTCTTGGCAAACAACACTTTTAATACTTAGAAATAATCCACAGAGGGGATGGATATTCCATGGGTCGCTTAAACTCTTCCCCTTTTACCGGACATTGAAATTGTTTCCTGGCTGTGACTGTTGCAGTTCTCAAAGAGGCGGCCTGTGGTCTGGTGGAGAAAAGGACAAGACAGGCTGCAAGGCAGAGCTGGGACATTCAACACTCTGGTGCCTAGAATCTCATTGTGGAAGCTTTTTAGGGGCCAATTACATGGCAACTGGCTTTCCTGCCAGGTCACATTCCTAGACTTGAGGATGAAGAATGGGACAGCAAGGCACATCTCACTGGCCTCCCAAAGTGCCCAAAGGTTCGGGAATTGAGCGTGGAGGAAATAGATTTGGGAGAGGGGCCCTGAGAGAAGGGAAGGCCAGATGTGTGACCCCTGAGCTGTTGACAGCTCAAACACATATAGCAACAGCCATGTTTGAGGTAGCAACAGGGCTCCTCACTTGAATGTTTTCCCCATAATACAAGTCCTTTTGGTATCCCACCTTCCCAGAGCAGGCATTGCCCCAGGAGACCTGGTCATGGGGAGAGGATCTGGGGACCCGAGTCTTTTCCACCAAGGCCAGCAGAAGGGGGTCTCTTTCAGATCTGTGAAGCTGGAGTGAGCCACCCGAGAGAGTGGGCTTACCCACCCAACACGCTGGGGGACCCTTGGTGGGCATATTTTTTCAGGAGTTCCTGCCCTGGGTGGAGGCTGCTTGTTCTGGGACTGGCTGAAGCCCCTTCCAAATTTGAGGTTCTGTGTTCAACAACAGCATTCACTGAAGCCCCCCTATGAGCCCGGGATAGGGAAATACCCCACTGACAGTGTGCCTACTGTATGCCAGACGCTGGGCTTCCTGGACATGATCTCACCCCATGGCACGACAGGCCAATGAGGAAAGAATCAGCACCCCGTGTGGGAGTGGGAAACCAGCAAGGCTGCCTCTTCTCACCTCCCAGCCCCAGGCCTCCCCTGCAGCACAGGGTGATTGGTGGGGACCCCGCGGAAGGACCCTTTCCTGGACACTTGCACCCCTTAAGGAAGCGCCTTATGTGATGGGCTTCAGGCACCACGTGGCACCTAGTAGCTGTGGGTGAGAGGCTCCAGGTTAGAGACAAGGAGCTGAGTAAACCCCACCTCTTTGGGCTGGTGGTGGCAGAGCTGGGAGCCTGAGGTGACAAGGTCTTGTTTGTGGGATTTGAGTTTCTGATGGATGACAATGACTGCCAGGCCTTTCCAGCTGGAACCGGAGCAGGCTCAGGGCCAAGGTCTGCCACCCTCTGGGCAGGTATAAGAGCTGGGAGGAGGGCTGGAGCCCGGCTGGGGCAGAGGTGCCAGCTGCCCGCTGGGGGACCAGGGTGCAGAGCTAAAATTGCTTTGTACAGACCGCCAGGTGGACAGGGTCAGTTCTGGAAGTGGCCCCTTCTCTGTGGGATCCAGGAGATGCACTAGGGAAGCCATCGGGCTGGACAGGCTGGAGGAGGTCACCTGAGGCTGAGACTCGGAAGGGTGAGTACATTCTTCCACGGTTCCTGCCTTTCCCTTCTCCACTGAGCTACTCACCCCTGCAAGTGACTGAGTGACTCTCTGCCCCAGAGGTGCCTGGGTGGAGACTGAGTGGCCATTTGTCAGGGACTTGAGCCCTGAATCTCTCAAAGCGGCAATGTGGGGGGATAGCCATAGCACTGTCATTTGTCCAGTGCTCAGCAAACACCAGGAACTGTGAACAGGAAGATGGAGGTCTGGCTCAGCATCCTAGTTCTTCAGGCATTATCTTCATTTACTCTTACAACAGCCCTGTCAGGTAGATAGGTATTAGTATTTTACAGATAGGGAGACTGAACCACAAAGATGTTAAGTAACTTGCCCAAGGTCACACAGCAAGGAAGTGGCAAAAACCAGGATTTAAACTCCCTGACTCCAGAGTCTGTGCTCTTAATGACTGTGTTATTCTATCCTGTGGCTGTGGTTAGTCCCTTCTACTTTTTTTTTTTTTTCCTTCTACTTTCTGAGTGGCAGTTTCCTTATCTGCAGTTTAAGGGTGTAAAACATGATGATCAGAAAGATATTGTCCTGAGATTCCTGAAAGATATCTGGACATGGGTCAGCCTTAAGCACTGGGAAGCCCTGTTGGAACATTTATCAAGAATGTGTGAATGGGGACTGCCCTGGTGGTCCAGTGGTTGGGACTCCGTGCTTCCAGTACAGGGGGTGCAGTTTCAATCCCTGGTCGGGGAACTAAGATCCCACATGCTGTGTGGTGTGGGGGGAAAAAAAAAAAAGAATATGGGGACACTCTTTGATCCATTATTCAACTTTTGAAATTTATCATAAAGGATATCATCAGATTTATGAACAAGGAGGTTCATTACAGTTTTGCTTATAATCACAGAAAATTAGAAGCAAACAAAATGTCAGACATTTGAGAAATGATGTACATCCTGTGAGGAAATAATAAGCAGCCATTAAAAATCATGTGTTCAAAGGGTACTGAATGTAACTGGAAATTTTTCATTTGTTAAGTTTGAAAAAGCACTTTATAAAACGATACACAGTATGATCTATTTATAAATGTGTGTATATGCTTATATATGAAATAAATATAAAAGATGGGAAAAAATACCCTTGGGGTTGAGAGTTTATCTCTGAGAGGTGGAATTATGAATATTTTTGTATTTTTCTTTATTCTTTTCTAAATTCCTCAAATTTTCTATAGTAAACATGTATTGCTTTTTTAATTAGAAAAATGACTTTTTTGCTTTCAAGATCTGTTCTTTTGGTCTAGCTTGGCCCCTTTCAAGCTTTGAGAGGAAACTGAATTGCAGGCTGTCAGTCTTGTGAGGGCCTCTGAAATAATCTGGTCTCAGAGAAACCAGAGGGGAAACAGTGTAATATGTTACATGTAACAGTGCTACATGTTACATGTGGGGAAACCCAGTTAAATGTGGGGAAACCCAGGGGTGCAAGGGACTTATGCAAGGTCATACAGGGAACCAGAGGCCCCAGACCCCCAGTCTGGGGGCTCAGGCATCTGCTCAAAGGCTACAGTCCATGGGCCAGGCTGCCAGAAGGGCAAGGAGGTAGAAGGGAATCACAGCTAGAATCTACGGCTAACGTGTTAATTGCTAACTACAAGTGTGGCCTTGAATGCCCAGCGTAGGTGACCCCACAGACCCACCCAGTGACATACTGGCCTGGGAATGACAGGTGAATGACAGGTGAGAGGGAGCAAAGGGTAGGCGAGGGGGCGTGGAGCCAACTGGGTGTGCCCCAGGTTTCTCCCTCTCATCTTTAGGCCTCACCAAGCGGTGCTGCCTCCCCCAGCAAGGCTGAGGGCTCGCTTACTGCCCTCAGCTGGGCTCAGACAGAAGAATGAAAGGTCTCCGCTGGTGTTACACTCGGCTGGTAAGGGGCCAGCTTGGGCTGGGGGTTGGTCAGGAAAGGTGGGGGAGAGGGGGTCTGGGCCAGGATTGGATACAGGCCGGTGTCCCCCTTCCAAGCCCCTCCCCAGCTGGCCCAGGGTTCAGAGCAAGGACTCAGGAACCTGGGGCCTTAGCGCCCAGCCCCATGGTCCCAAGACCCTCAGGAAGCACAGACCACCGTCGCCATCCCTTCCTCCCCGGAGTGGGTGCCAGATGGAGCTCTATCCAGAAGCCCGCACAGCTAGGACGCCCTCCCTAGGCCTGAACCTGGGGAATAGGAAAGCAGCTTCCTGCCCTTCTCTCCTTCTCGAGGAAGTCTGTCTTTTTCTTTTTTCCTTTAATGGAGCACCCCCTGCTGTTTTTTAAAATTAATTCATTAATTAATTAATTTTTGGCTACGTTGGGTCTTAGTTGCTGCGTGTGGGCTTTCTCTAGTTGCGGTGAGCGGGGGCTACTCTTCATTGCGGTGCGCGGGCTTCTCACTGCGGTGGCTTCTGTTGCAGAGCGGGGGCTCTAGGCACGCAGGCTCAGTAGTTGTGGCACGTGGGCTTCAGTGGTTGTGGCTCACGGGCCCTAGAGCACAGGCTCAGTAGTTGTGGCGCACGGGCTTAGGTGCTCTGCGGCTTGTGGGATCTTTCTGGACCAGGGCTCGAACCCATGTCCCCTGCATTGGCAGGTGGATTCTTAACCACTGCGCCAGCAGGGAAGTCCTTGAGGAAGTCTCTCCTGATGAAAAGCCCCGAAGTCATTGTGTGCAGGCGTGCATACACACACATACACACTCTGGTACAGAGTGGGAGCTCAATGGAGTGAATGAATGAATGAATGAATGAATGAAGACACCACCATACATGCCCACTGACACATACATATATTTACACAATCCCAACTCACACTCACAAACACATTGACAGGTAACACGAAGTTGCACTCAACACCTCACACTGATTTGCCTACACAACTCTATTTTAAGCCGACACACCACACACATTCACACAGACAAATGTGCATTTTATATGAATCTGCTAACCTGCACGCTGTCTCACCTATGACTACATGCATTGTTTCACTGGCTGAGAGGGCCTTCTTTCTTCCTTTGTAAAATGGGCGTAGTAAGAAGTACATTCTCGGGAGTTCCCTGGCACTCCAGTGGCTGGGACTCAGCGCTCTCACTGCCACGGCCCGGGTTCAATGCCTGGTCAGGGAACTGAGATCCCACAAGCCACAGAGTACGCGGCCAAAAGGAAAAAAAAGCAGCACATTCTTCTTAGAATTCTTGGGAAAATTCAGAGAGATCACGCACAGCAAGCATTTCACACAGGCCTAGTCAAATGTGTGCTGTATATTGTATATGTCATCCACTACTGTTGTTGTTATTATTATTATCGTTATTTCACGTACAAAGGCACTGCTGCGGCTCCCAGAGCTGGGCTGTCATCTGCCCTTCTCTCCTGCCCACAAGCTTAGAACGCAATCCCTGGCATCCACTCTGGATCCAGAGAAACCAGGCAGACAAACCACAGGGCCCACGGCCACATCGGATGGGCATGTGGCAGGGGCCAGGGAGGGAGCTGGCTGGAGGCGGGGGCAGGGCCTGGTCTGACGCTTGCTTCCTCTGGCTGCGCTGGTGGCTGCAGGGGCCTGGGCCGGGATGGTGAGGCGGCCGAGGCTCTCAGGCTCTGGACATGTGGAAGCTGGTGTCTCCTTGTCCCTCCACTCACCAGGCCTCTTTGTGTCTTCACAGCCCAGCCAGGTGGAGGACGCCCTGTCTGGGGAGGAGGGTGAGGAAGAGGAAACGGAGGAGGAGACAGCCCCAGCCCCCGCTCGTGCTCCTGAAGATCCAGCGGAGCCCCAGCGGGCAGAAGCCAGCCAGGTTCTGGGAGCCTCGGAGATGAGGCAGGTTCGGGCACAGTCCATGGTACAAAGATTTCAGCCCTGAGCCTAAGGGTCCCACCCTCCTGCCCCACCCCAGCCAGGCCCAAGGACACCCAGGGTCACTCCTGTGCTGTCCTCTGCTCAGTGTGTCACCTTGGGCAAATCACTTCTCCTCTCTGGGCTTTTCTTCCTTTCTTGTAAAATGACCCAGTAACCCTAGCACGGCCTTCTTCCCCGGGCCAGGAGGTTAAGGATATAGTGAACTAACCTAGTCCTTGGGAACTAACGCCAAAGCTGGGGTGGGGGTGGGAGGATGAGGTGGGGGCATTAGGAGGAAGGGTTCAGCGTCTCATCTGTTCTCTGGCTGCTGGGGGCCAAGGTGACCCCTGTGACCTGGGTTCAAATCCTGGCTCTGCCACTTACTCCCCCTGTGGGCTTCAGGCAGGTTGCTTCACCTCCCTGAGCCTCAGCTTCCTCATCTATAAAATGGGAACACTAATCCCTCTCTCTGAGGGTTCCTGCTAATTGGCGTGAAAGTCCCCTGGAAACAGTAAAGTACTCTGTAACCTGCAAAGCACCATGCTTGGGTGAGTGGTGGCTGTTCAACCTCAGTTCTCCTGGGACCCTAAGGATATGGGGCGAGGAGGGTGGGAGGACCAGGAACACTCACTCAACTCCAGTCCTGTCCCTTAGATCAGCCTCCACCTCCCCCCGAGAGTCGCTGGATACTCCTGGAGTCTAGCCTTTTGCACGTCGAGGGACGGCTTCAGTCTGCGGAGCCTGTACAGACAGATGGAGGGCCACAGCGGGCCGGTGCTGCTGGTGCTGAGGGACCAGGATGGCCAGGTGAGCCGTGCTGGGAGTGTTAGTGGAAGGGATGCATGTCGATGGGCCCCCGAGGGCCTCTCCAGCCCCCAGCTCTGCCCCAGGCTCCCCAGGAGCCTCTCTAGGACGGGCCTATGTTACCAAGCCTGAAGGGTGGTGCTGCCAGTGGACCTCCAGCTCCCTTCCAGCGGCAAACTGCAAACTCTTCCTTCCAGATGTTTGGGGCCTTCTCCTCAGCTATTCGACTCAGCCAAGGCTTCTACGGTACCGGCGAGATGTTCCTCGTCTCCTTCTCTCCGCAGCTGAAGGTGATGTTCTTAACCTTCCAGGCGGGGAGTGGGATCTATGGCAGGACAAAGAACCCGGGGTCCCAGTGGCCCCCAGCTCCATCCCCCATGCTGGGTGCCTGGTGTCCTTCCATCTTTCCACAGAGGGAGCACAGCAGGGCAGTGGCAGGCAGAGCATCCCCCTTCATTTAAAAAGTGCTCAGCTCCTGGCAACCACTGACTGGCTTGCGAGGAGGTGTGTCGCTCAGCAGATACAGGTTGGAAAGACAAAACTGGTCCAAGTGCAGGTAGCCCTGTGGGTGTGGGGGTAGGAAGATGAAGACAGACATGCCCAGTGGCTTATATTTTCTTAGGCAGTGTCGGGTAAGGCCATCAGCTAAGGGCGAGGATGCAGAGGAGGGTGTGAAGGTTGAGGGGAGAGGAGGTATGGCAGGAGTAGAAAGGGAAGCTGCTGGAGAAAACTGGAGACGGAAGGGTAGCTAGGCCGGGCTGACTGGAGGTCCGAGACTGCGAATGCAAAGGCCACTTACTTCGGTGTGTGCTCTTCTCTAGCAAAATTCAGCCCCTCAGATTCAAGCACGGAGAGCGCGATGGGAGGGTTCAACCACGACTGGGGTTTTGCCAAGCTGCTTTGCTAGAGGGAGACAGGGAAAAGGGAGTTGAATGGAGTGGAAACACGAAAGAGATGAAGCAGTAGCTGCAGGTGCATTGGTTTTGCCATTAGAAACCCCTGTCCCACGCACAGAGCAAGACACCTACAGATACATGCAACAACATAGGCATCTGGTTGCATGACAAGGAGGTCACAAGCTTGGACTGACTGCCTTGCCGAAGGCAAAACACACCATATCTGCTGCGTCGCCTCCATCGCCAGCCTGGAAATCTTATCAGGGAAGAGGAGAGGGGACAGTTGTTTACAATAAACCCATGCTGGATACTAGTCCCCACCGCTGGCTTTCCAGGAGGGTTCACCTACTAGAATCCTCAAGTTGTACAAGGTTCCTCCTACTGCTCTGACAGTTCCTTGGCAGAATCCTTTGCTGGTTCCTCCTCATCTCCCCAACCTTTTAACGTCATGGGGTCCTCAAGCTCAGGCTTTGGTTGTCATCTCTTCTCTGACTACCCTCTTTTCCTTCGAGTCCTCATCGATTCTCACAGCTTTCCATGCCATCCAGGTGCTGATGGCCTCTCCCCCTGGACTCCACACTCACATACATCCAACCACTACCCAGTGTCTCCAGTTGGATCTAAATGATATTTCAAGCCTCACATGTTAAAAGCTGAGCTCCTGACTTTCTCCCAGAAAATCGGTTCCCCCTGCCATCTTCCCTGACAAAGTTAACGGCACCTCTATCTTTTCTGCCGTCGAGACCAAAAATTTTGGAGCCCTTCTTAACACCTCTTTCACACCCTACATCTGAGCTGTCAATGAATCCTGATGGCTCTTCCTTCTCTTTCTATCGCTATCCAGAATCCACCACTTCTCACTATGTCCTTTGCTGTCACCCTGGTTCAAGCCACCATCATTACTTGCCTGTGTTCCTGCTATAGCCTCCTAATGCTTCCACCTTCAGTCATCACAGTACCTGGAGTGAGCCTTTTAAAAGGTAAGTCAGGGCACGTCACTCCTGGGCTCCAAGCTGCCGATGGCTTCCTTTCTCCCTCAGAGAAAAGCCAAAGTCTTTACAATAACCTACAAGTCCCTACGTCTCTTGGCCTCTCTCTGATGTCATTTCTTGCTACTTTCCCTCTCCTGCACTCTGCTGTAGCCACACAGACCTGTCGGTTTGTTCTTAAACAGGCAGGCCTGTTCCTACCTCAGGGCCTTTGCACACACTGCTCTACCTAGTGTGCCCTCCACAGGATCTCTATGTGGGTCGGTTCTCACTTCCTTTAGGACCCTGCTCAGATGTCACCCTCTCGGCAAGGCCCTCCCTGGCTGCCTGCTTTAAATTTGTAACACTCCAGCCCCTAGAAATCCTTATTGCCCTTCTCTACTTCTTTTCCCTTAGCTTTTGTCGCCACCTAATATACCATTTATTTTACTGATTTACCCGCCTCCTGCCGCTAGAGTGGGAATTCCAGGAGGCAGGAATTTTTGTCTGTTATGTTTGCTGTTCTCTCCAGTGACTAAACAGTGCCTGGTGCTAAGTGCCAAAAAATTCTTCAAAGGAACTTATGATTTTTTTCAGGGGATCACTATAGTCTTCCCAGGATACTGTTATGGAATCTCATCCTTTCAAAAATTGGTTAATTTTTGCCTGTCTTTGGTCTTCTGGCACCTCTTGTGTTCTGCATGAATTCCCAGCCGTTCCTTTACTACTCTTCCAAGAAGCACCATGAACGTGGCCTTAATTTTTTCTGCAGCAATGTTTATCTTCCTCCTTCAAGTCTGAAGGTCATGTTCCTTGAGGAAAGTGGAGGAGGAGCTGAATGGTTCTGTCTTCTTGTGGCCACTTGTTAATATTATCTCACCTCTTCTGAGCCCAGGGCTTATCTTTTGTTAGTCCATTTTCTTGCTTAACACCCTTTGGTTGCTCAGAGCATTTTTGGCAACTAATTACAGGCAATAATATGCTATACTTTTGCAGCCTTTAAAAAATCTTTTTATTAGCTAAATTGACCCTTGAATAATTTGTTTATTCAACAAACATCTATGCCATGTCTCAGGAATACTGCCGGAATCAAGGCAGCCGTCACAGAGCTTACCTGTTAGCTGGGCAGGCAGTGGCATATTGCCACATGAACAGGGCCTGGGAGGAAGGGCTACTTTCAATTCCTCTGGGATGACATTTGGGCTGAAAGATGAGAAGTGCGCCCTTTGAGGATCTGGGGGAAGAGCATCCTGGGCAGAGGGGTCAGCAAGCGTGAAGATCCTAGAGCGGCAATAGCTTCAGGTGTCCCAGGGACAGAAGGGCCAGGGTAGATTAAGTGCAGTCGTTAAGGGGGAAAAGAGGTCGGAGAGAAAATCGGGGGCACAGCAGGCTGGACTTTCAGCTGTTGTAAGCGGTTGGATTTTATTTCCAGGGCCATTGGAGGGCTTTAGCAGAGGAGGGCTAACATCCGATTGGATTTTGAATAGGTCACTGACCGCAGTGCGGACATGGGCTCTGGGCAGGAGACAGTGGAAGCAGAGACCCATTAGGAGGCTGTGATCCAGGGAGGAGTGACTGGCGGGGACGGATGGGACAGAAATGGTGGTAGTCAGGGTGTCTCTTTGGGGTGGGGCCCACAACACTTGCTGAGGAACTGGGTGTGAGGCAGCACTGGGGAGTGTGCAGGCTTGGTGTTGCCTCCAGCGAGGGGAGGAAACAGTAAGGGTAGAATCAGGGCCCCGCTCCTGACCTGGACTTTCCGCCTCCTCTCTCCCGCTTTGGAAGCAGGAAGCCTCAGAGGGTTCTGGTCTATTCCTAGAACAGAAGGGCTTTGGGGCTGTGGGAATTCAGACTGGAGGGCAAGAGGAGATGAACTCCAGGGATACTGGAGCCCAGAGTAGTTCCTGCGCCTTCGTTGGGGCCTGGAGGTTCTGTTTCCTCCACAACACTGCCGCCCAGTGGTGTAGAGCCAAAGTGCAAGGGCAGGACTCACCCAGTAACCGCAGGTTTCTCCTATCATCACAGGTCTACAAGTGGACAGGAAACAACTCTTTCTTTGTGAAAGGAGACTTGGATTCACTGATGATGGGATGTGGCAGGTGCGTGTCTCAGTCCTCCCCGAGTCTCGAGTGTCGGGGTGGTCTGTGCTCGGATCCCTTCTCCCGTCCGGAAATGCTGAGCTAGGCTGCCCCAGACAAGATGGGGAGGCTGCTGGTTAACCTTCAAGCCTCTCCCTTCAGCAGCTCCTGGGGCCTGCTCAGTCCACTAGCCAACCCCCTAAACCCTGCTCTAAGTCAATATTGAGAGGAGAGGGTGGCGTGAACTCTCCCCCAAAGTGTTTCTTTGGTGACAGCTTAGGCTGAATTTATGTGTAACTTTGGAAACAGCATTCCATATGGTTGGATGAGGCTAGATTCAAGGGATGGGCAAGCCTCAGATTTACCTGTCAGCTCCATGATCGTAGGAACATAACTCACTGGAGGAAGGCAGGCATCTGCCTGGAACCCGGCATGCGTGCGTGCGTGCGTGCGTGCGTGTGTGTACGCGTGCGCGCGACTCTTCGGGGTGGGAGATGGAGTGCGTTAGGAAGACAAGGTTAGTCTCGCCTCTGGTATGACCTGCAAGTTCAGGCAGAATAACTCTTATCCTGCGGGTACAGATGAAAGCATTGCTTGCTTAGTACCAGGCAAGTTCTTTGCTCTCCCAACTGCCTGAAAAGCCTCCACTGAGAGGCAGATTGACACAGAACGCACCAGCCATGGCTGATTTGCAGTAAGCCACTTCCCAGCTCCAGCCTAGGTTTGCTGTCAAACGAGGGGATTAGAATGGATGCCCTCTGACGTGTTTTGGGCTCAGAGTCCACGCTTGCGCGAGTCCCTCCTTTGGTTAAGCGTTGCCATCTTTAACGTTCTGAATGTTCTAAAACTGGACTGTGGTGATGGTTGCACCACTGCATATATTTATCGAAATCATTGAACTGTAAAAAAAAAAACAACGCTCCAAACCCTGTGGGGAACAACATGCGAGCCCCTAACAATCAGGATAAATTGGTTTAAGGGGAGCTGAGACAAAGGCGAAGTGAGGCTGCGGTCGCGGTGTAGCCAAGCGCCGCTGGTGCAGGCCCGAAAGGTGTCAGCACCCAGGAGGGAGCGATGCCAAGACTCTCCTCTCTCTTTAGTGGCCACTTTGGGCTGTGGTTGGATGGAGACTTGTATCACGGGGGGAGCCACCCCTGTGCAACCTTCAACAACGAGGTGCTGGCCCGGCAGGAGCAGTTCTGCATCAAGGAGCTAGAGGCCTGGGTCCTGAGCTGATGCCCCGGTGGGCAGCTTCCTGGGGCAACAGAGGCTTGGATCTGCCCCTGGATGCTGACGAGGCCTCCCTCACCCTGGGCAGTCCATTCTGTCCGAAACACAGATGGCAAAGTGTCCCAGTGTGGACTGTGGCTGTGAGCCAGCCTCCCGTCGCCCGAGGACCAAGACAGGCATGGGCACAGCCCATTTTCTCCTGTAGAGGGGACTTTGAAGGAGTGAAAGCACTTATACCTCACCAGAGCAGCACAAAGTCCCTCAGGAAAATGATCTTTTTAGAGAGAGTATACAGTTAATACATGTTTATTGTAGAAAAACCAGAAGATATAAAAGAATTAAAGTTGCCTAAAATTCAACCACCCCCCAAAACACTAACATTTCAAATATATCCTTCCAGACAATTTTCCAAGGAGATATATATATATATATCTTACAAAATGGGATTCTACTCTATATGTGTTGGACATTATTCTAACTTAAAGAATATTGTCAAGCCACAGACACCAGGACTCAACCAGTGAAATTAATAAAGACTCCAGCAGCATCCTTCTTTTCCCAGAACATTGAGGGCTTTCTGTCTGCCACCAGTGTGCCACCGGGTGCCTGCAAATCTCTTATTTAATTCCACGAGGAAAATATGAAAGCAGCAAATGAACAATATGCATATTTGGGTAAAGAATTTGAAATTCTGTAGATGGGAACCTCAGGGAGGTTAAAAAAGGAGGAAGGGTATGTTTTCTGGCAAAACAGGAGCTCAGAAAAACTAAAAAAAAAGAAATCCATATCCCTCCCCATGCCAGTGCCTGTCTCCTTCCAGCAGATTCTTTATCAGGCCATTACTTGCCATTATTGAATGAGGAAAACCAAGTAACATAGGCCCTGTTAATATCATCCCCTCTTGAAGACCCAACACAGTGCTGAGGTATAAAGAAACATCTGGGCGCATTCCTAGACCAAACACAGTTCTTTTGCACAAAAGGGTCAAAACTGGGCACACAAGTGTGAGAGAAAGTCGTCAAGGAAGACACGGTTGGTTTCAAGATAGAGATATATTCATGAGGTTTTATTGCAGCTGTTTCCCTCACCCAGATGAAATAACCAGTCACTTGAACTTGCAGTTCTATTTACATTCTCAATGTGACAATGCTCAGTAACTCTAGAGACCAAGCTGTTAAAGTCTCTGTTTTTATACAAATAGTGAAGATGTTTCTTAGGAAAAATTTAACCTTGCCAGTGGCACGTGGTTCCCATAATTAAAACAGTTGCAAAGAGCATAAAGTGCAGCTGCCTGGTATGTAACAAAAGATGCAAACAAAATAGATTCAAGTTGTTTCTCAGAGAGCACAACGATACAACACTGAGACCACAAAATTGCAGAGTAAAACAATGATTTAAAGGTAGGAGGTGCAAAAATAAAACAATCTTGGCAGAGAAACATTACATTCTTGACCTTGGGTCCGGGCACATGGAGTCTGGGACGGATTTCTCCCTGC